GACGTGCCTTCCCGTTCGGAGGGGGCAGTGTAGTGATCCTCGCTATATGAGCCACGTTACAATTAATCCTATTGGCACGATGTGTAAGGTTTTTGCTTTTCATGCCAGAGGCCCAATATATAGCTCAGTGGTCACAAGTGCATGTGCAAGGAATGCATCAAAAGTGTACAAGCAAAGATTATCTAATATATTGACAAGATGACTGATCGCTCTAACAATGGAAATACATGTCCACAAAGCGAAAGGCAGGTGGGAGGAGGCAAGATCAGGTGTGAACATTCTACGCATTGAGAGGGCAGAAACGCTTCTGAACAACAGGCAAAACTCAAATATAAATTGTTTTTCTCAAAATTGCCGGAATTACACTTAACACACTAGTAACAACCTAACCATTATGAAACTTCTATTAGATCAAATAAGACTTACCAATCAAAATAGCAATTAACTTTTATCTTGACTAAATTCGACACTCTCATTGCCCCCCATACAAAAACTCTTCACTTATTGGTCTTATTTCGCGTTAACAGATTTTGGGTGGAGTAAACCCCCTCGATTCGCCTCGCCTCGCCTCTTCCTCACTGGTACTAGCCACTTGTACAGTATTCACTCACATCAACCGCTAGGGCAGGGTTCCCCTGGTTTTAAATACATTGGTTGAATTTTCATTGTTGGACATAATATACTGTAAAAACACCAGGAAATTATCTCCAATTGATTTTAATTTTGGAAATCTGTTCCCAAGTATTCCCACGCATAACAAAGAGACACGTGATCGTTTACAAACGTAAGCAAGGTTTGAAATGATTATGTTTTAGTCAAATTATATCTGTTTGGGACTCTTGTGGTCAATTTACAGTCTACAAATTATTTGTAATTATGTTCCAGCCCCCCGACCATCTGCTCAAGGAAAAAAATCGGCCCGTGGCTAAATCTAGTTGATGATCCCTGCTCTAGGGAGAGACAAAAACATGTCAAGCTAGCTTGAGGGAGCAAGTACCAGTGGTACAACCAATATTGTAAATCATTGGGTACAACCAAAGTTATGGATATACTGACAAGATGCATGTCTCTCCGCCCTAACAATGGGAGTTGTCCATGAAGTCCTTTCTTTGAGTTGGTGGATACATCTCATTATTGTAATCCTTTTTTAAATATTCAAGGAGGGTTGTTGATGTCAACCTGTATTCAATGGAGAGAGACGCTATACTACTAGCTTTCATGCCATGAATATGCATAGCCATCTCGAGACAACTCCGATACAAATAGTTTTTTCTCAAAGTTGTGGGATGTCATACTGAACAAAAATATAAACGCAACATGCAACAATTTCAAAGATTTTACTGAGTTACAGTTCATATATACAGTGGGGGAAAAAAGTATTTAGTCAGCCACCAATTGTGCAAGTTCTCCCACTTAAAAAGATGAGAGAGGCTTGTAATTTTCATCATAGGTACACGTCAACTATGACAGACAAATTGAGGAAAAAAAATCCAGAAAATCACATTGTAGGATTTTTAATGAATTTATTTGCAAATTATGGTGGAAAATAAGTATTTGGTCACCTACAAACAAGCAAGATTTCTGGCTCTCACAGACCTGTAACTTCTTCTTTAAGAGGCTCCTCTGTCCTCCACTCGTTACCTGTATTAATGGCACCTTTTTGAACTTGTTATCAGTATAAAAGACACCTGTCCACAACCTCAAACAGTCACACTCCAAACTCCACTATGGCCAAGACCAAAGAGCTGTCAAAGGACACCAGAAACAAAATTGTAGACCTTCACCAGGCTGGGAAGACTGAATCTGCAATAGGAAAGCAGCTTGGTTTGAAGAAATCAACTGTGGGAGCAATTATTAGGAAATGGAAGACATACAAGACCACTGATAATCTCCCTCGATCTGGGGCTCAACGCAAGATCTCACCCCGTGGGGTCAAAATGTTCACAAGAACGGTGAGCAAAAATCCCAGAACCACACGGGGGGACCTAGTGAATGACCTGCAGAGAGCTGGGACCAAAGTAACAAAGCCTACCATCAGTAACACACTACGCCGCCAGGGACTCAAATCCTGCAGTGCCAGACGTGTCCCCCTGCTTAAGCCAGTACATGTCCAGGCCCGTCTGAAGTTTGCTAGAGTGCATTTGGATGATCCAGAAGAGGTTTGGGAGAATGTCATATGGTCAAATGAAACCAAAATAGAACTTTTTGGTAAAAACTCAACTCGTCGTGTTTGGAGGACAAAGAATGCTGAGTTGCATCCAAAGAACACCATACCTACTGTGAAGCATGGGGGTGGAAACATCATGCTTTGGGGCTGTTTTTCTGCAAAGGGACCAGGACGACTGATCCGTGTAAAGGAAAGAATGAATGGGGCCATGTATCGTGAGATTTTGAGTGAAAACCTCCTTCCATCAGCAAGGGCATTGAAGATGAAACGTGGCTGGGTCTTTCAGCATGACAATGATCCCAAACACACCGCCCGGGCAACGAAGGAGTGGCTTCGTAAGAAGCATTTCAAGGTCCTGGAGTGGCCTAGCCAGTCTCCAGATCTCAACCCCATAGAAAATCTTTGGAGGGAGTTGAAAGTCCGTGTTGCCCAGCGACAGCCCCAAAACATCATTGCTCTAGAGGAGATCTGCATGGAGGAATGGGCCAAAATACCAGCAACAGTGTGTGAAAACCTTGTGAAGACTTACAGAAAACGTTTGACCTGTGTCATTGCCAACAAAGGGTATATAACAAAGTATTGAGAAACTTTTGTTATTGACCAAATACTTATTTTCCACCATAATTTGCAAATAAATTCATTAAAAATCCTACAATGTGATTTTCAGGATTTTTTTTCTTCTCATTTTGTCTGTCATAGTTGACGTGTACCTATGATGAAAATTACAGGCCTCTCTCATCTTTTTAAGTGGGAGAACTTGCACAATTGGTGGCTGACTAAATACTTTTTTCCCCCACTGTAAAATCAGTCAATTGAAATAAATTCATTAGGCCCTAATCTATGGATTTCACATGATTGGGAATATAGATATGCATCTGTTGGTCACAGATACCTTTAAAAAAAAGTAGGTGCGTGGATCAGAAAACTAGTCAGTATCTGGGGTGACCACCATTTGTCTCATGCAGCGTGACACATTTCCTTCACATAGAGTTGATCAGGCTGTTGATTGTGGCCTGTGGAATGTTGTCCCACTCCTCTTCAATGGCTGTGTCCGAAGTTGCTGGATATTGGTGGGAACTGGAGCAAGCTGTCGTACACGTCGATCCAGAGCATCCCAAACATGCTCAATGGGTGACATGTCTGGTGAGAAATGTTCAGCTTCCAGGAATTGTGTACAGATCCTTGCGACATGGATTATCATGCTGAAACATATATCTCTGTGCATTCAAATTACCATTGATAAAATGCAATTGTGTTAGTTGTCCGTAGCTTATGCCTGCCCATACCATAACCCCACCGCCACCATGGGGCACTCTGTTCACAATGTTGACATCAGCAAACCACTCACCCACACGACATCATACACATGGTCTGCGGTTGTGAGGCCGGTTGGACGTACTGACAAATTCTCTAAATCAACATTGGAGGCTATGATAGAGAAATTAACATTCAATTCTCTGGCAACAGCTCTGGTGGACGTTCCTGCAGTCAGCATGCCAATTGCACTCTCCCTCAAAACTTGAGACATCTGTGGCATTGTGTTGTGTGATGACAACTGCACATTTTAGAGTGGCCTTTTACTGTCCCCAGCACAAGGTGCACCTGTGTAAAATAATGCTGTTTAATTAGCTTCTTGATATGCCACACCTGTCAGGTGGATGGATTATCTTGGCAAAGGAGAAATGCTCACTAACAGGGATGTAAACAAATTTGTGCCCAAAATGTGAGAGAAATAAGCTTTTTGTGCATATGAAACATTTCTGCCCTCATTTATTTCAGCTCATGAAACATGGAACCAACACTTTACATGTTGCGTTTATATTTTGTTCAGTATATATCAGTAGACTCGTACCAACTTAAGCATTACGAAACGTCTATTCAATCAAATAAACCTCACGTAGCAAATAAGCCATTCATTTTTTTGTTGACCAAATTCAACACTCTCTCATTGACCTCCATACAAAAACTCCTTGCTTGGTGGGCGAAAAAAACGCCACCTGCTGGAGGAAGAGAGATTTTCTGCCGAGTTGGACCTCTCTTCCTCTTCCTCTCGTGTACAACCCACTGAGCAACCATTGGCCGATTCTGTTGTAAAATGTTTCTTAAACGGAAGCAAACAGAACGGAATGGGGCGGGACCTACCTGCATTTATCCAATAGAAAACTCTATTTTTTGTTAGAAAACGAAATTGTTTTGATTAATGAGTGCTAATGAATGTCTAACGTTGTTAGCATCTTTCACATGCATCAAGAGCTGGATTTTGGAATAACAATGTATAATTTGCTAACGAACGTTACATTGAAGAATCCTTTGATTGCCGGTGGGTATTTGTTAGGACATCAGCACTGTCAACTTACCTTGCTAGCTAGCAGTAACATTGGTTAACGTTACCTTTTCTTGATGATAACTAACGTTAGCTAGCCAGCCACATCGTCAATAACGTCAACATAAACTAGCCAGCGAGACATCTACCTACATAGTATAGTAATGGAAGCAAATGTACCGGTGAGATTGTGACCTTATCAGGTGCAATTGCAAAACGTCGATGAATTAACGAACAGAGTAATCTGAACAGAGTAATCTGAACAGGGAGGCCATATCTGATAGCTAGCTACTGTAGATCAGCATCACTTGCTAGCGCATTTGTTAGCTATCCCAGACTGTCTGCCTGCTAGCCGGCTAGCTAGCTAACAGTTACAACATCGTATCAGCTGATGATGCCCACGGAAAATTGTTAGCTACGCTGTTATTAACATACAGTACTGACAATCTTTGAGAAACATACTGGTGTTTATGTACTAGTAGTTAGCTAAGTTAGCCTATTGCTCAGTAGAAAAATCTGAATTGTCAAGAATCAGTTTTCACGGTTCTCACCAATAATAAGCTAGTTCACGTTAACTAGCTAGATAAGTAGCCTACTGGAGGAAATTATACATTAATACATAAGTAGTTCAATTTTTTTTCTGTGGTTTCTTTTTGGCAGGTGATGGTAACCCAAGACAACATGAGATAAGAAACGACTGATCAAGCTAACGTTATTGTCTGCCCTTGAGAGAATATCGGGAATCCTCTTAGTAGAAACATTTTTTCCTAACAGACTGGAAATATGCAAACCTAGCTACCTGGCAATACATCTTCCTGATGGGGTGTAGTGCTACTTCTGTGTACCACAGTAATACAGTACTACCTTGACATTCAGGATTCATAGCTTAGGCCTACTTGTGTTGATCAGATCATCACTCAATATAACATTTACATTTGCATCAGTAGTCTAGCAACTGCTCCACCATTTTGGGGGTTCAGTCAAACATTACTGTATTTCACACATTTCTGACTGAGGGTTAGTAAAGTCAGCTTTCTGTCAAGATGTTTTCCGCTCTGAAGAAGCTAGTTGGTTCTGAATCAGGCCAGCCGAGGGACAAGAGCATCCCTGCTGGTATGCAGTCCATGAACCATAGTTTACAGAGACGTTTTGCCAAAGGAGTACAGTACAACAGTAAGTTATGCATATTTTTTATGCTGATAGCAATATATATGATATAATATAGGTTACTGTACATGTATTAAGACGTAGGCTAGTCATACTTTGTTTTGTTATTTCTCCCAAGTGAAAATAGTTATCCGTGGAGACAGAAATACTGGAAAGAGCACTCTATGGCATCGACTGCAAGGAAAGAAATTCACAGATGACTACATCCCCACTCAAGAGATCCAGGCAACCAGCATCCATTGGAACTACAAAAGTAAGAGAACTGGGCTCCTACACTTTACTTGCACACTTTGATCAATGTTTTAGTCCTATGTTTTTTACTTACTCCAGGCTAAAACCTATCTCAAATTCTGCCAACACATTGTCAATGTATACTTATGATGTACTTTTCCTGCTTCTGCAACTGTAATTCACTTCAGTTGAACATGGCACATATAAAGGTAAATAATATCCAGGTAAGCCTACTAGGTTTGAGAAATAGTATTGCATAGTTAGCTAGATCAATAGCTTTGCCTACAAGTGTTTTGTGGGATAGTGAAAACACAAACTCTCTAGTGTACACCCAGACCACAGTAGGCCTATTCCCTCAAACAGTTTCCCTCCTCAGACCGTGTGATTAATAAAGAGGCCCATGGGTAATGATGCAATTTGTCCTGTAGTACAGAAACAACTTTGTCCAGCTTGCCTTTCCCAGCTATCATATGTGCGCACAGAGCCTTGGGACACATACTAGTAGTTTGAGCTTTAGTATGTGAGGCTTTGTCAGTTGTGATTCTTATTGAGATGACTGTTTCTCTGTATCTCTCAGCCACTGATGACGTGGTCAAGGTGGAGGTGTGGGATGTGGTGGATAAAGGTGAGTGTGATGACTTTGTTGGGCTGGGTGAATGTATGTGACCTACATGAGTCATTCAGTTGATATCTACAGTTTCTACTGCTGTATTAGAAGTGTCCGTGTATTTTGTATTATCCCATTGCCCATCCGTACAGTTACAATTTTTTTGTTCAGAAATGTTTATACATGCCTAAGTCTTGGTTCTGTGGATTTTTTTTTCTCCTCAGAATATTAATGTTGTTTTTCTTGCTCCTCTTTTTTTCACTTGCCTCAGGCCAAAAATACCCTCTCCCTGAGGGTGTAGGTGAGAGTCACTGTGTGCACTGATGTAGGATCTTAATTTGATCACCCTGTTGCAGGAGAACTTTCCTGCAATGCAAAAACGTATTGTGTGTTTAAGGTTTAAAAATGCTTCTGAAGTTTGTAATTTCCACTTTGAAATGTCAAACTTGATTTTCCCTTACGAAAAATCTATCAACCCCTACAAAAATTTCCATTAATTTTTATCCACGTAAAATTCACATTTCCTGTTGCTGCAGGATTATTTTCCTGCTGTAGCAAACTGGCTCAAATTAAGATCCTACATCTGTAGTTCCTAGAAGTTAGTTGCTTGTAGGCTAGTTGCTCTTGTGCTTCTGTTTTATCTGAATGCAAACACAGTGAAGGTTGGTCGTTGCTTAGTTTGCAGTGTGGCTGAAATAAAAAGATTGCTGATTGCTTTCTAGAAAATGACTGTTTGACTACTTTGTGTGCTATAACCTGGAGCTACAGTCAAGAAAGGTTTGACTATCTCTTTTTAAAAGAAGATAATTGAGTACGTGTTTGCCAATAAGAACATAAAAAGAGCTTTTCTGCTTCTGTCAATACTGTATTTGTTGCACTTAGCTAACGGTAAAGTTAGAAGTAAAGGGATTCACGTTTTTGTGTTTTAAAATAAATGCCATGTGTAATCATACTGTATTGGGGAGAACAAGTATTTTATTCACTGCCGATTTTGCAGGTTTTCCTACTTACAAAGCATGTAGAGGTCTGTAATTTTTATCATAGGTACACTTCAACTGTGCGAGACGGAATCTAAAACAAAAATCCAGAAAATCACATTGTATGATTTTTAAGTAATTAATTTGCATTTTATTGCATGACATAAGTATTTGATCACCTACCAACCAGTAAGAATTCTGGCTCTCACAGACCTGTTAGTTTTTCTTTAAGAAGACCTCCTGTTCTCCACTCATTACCTGTATTAACTGCACCTGTTTGAACTCGTTACCTGTATAAAAGACACCTGTCCACACACTCAATCAAACAGACTCCAACCTCTTAACCTCTCAATTATTCGAAAATGGAAGAAGTTCAAGATGACGGTCAATCACCCTCGGTCTGGGGCTCCATGCAAGATCTCACCTCGTGGGGCATCACTGATCATGAGGAAGGTGAGGGATCAGCCCAGAACTACACGGCAGGACCTGGTCAATGACCTGAAGAGAGCTTGGACCACAGTCTCAAAGAAAACCATTAGTAACACACTACGCCGTCATGGATTAAAATCCTGCAGCGCACGCAAGGTCCCCCTGCTCAAGCCAGCGCATGTCCAGGCCCGTCTGAAGTTTGCCAATGACCATCTGGATGATCCAGAGGAGGAATGGGAGAAGGTCATGTGGTCTGATGATACAAAAATAGAGCTTTTTGGTCTAAAGTCCACTCGCTGTGTTTGGAGGAAGAAGAAGGATGAGTACAACCCCAAGAACACCATCCCAACCGTGAAGCATGGAGGTGGAAACATCATTCTTTGGGGATGCTTTTCTGCAAAGGGGACAGGACGACTGCACCGTATTGAGGGGAGGATGGATGGGGCCATGTATCGCGAGATCTTGGCCAACAACCTCCTTCCCTCAGTAAGAGCATTGAAGATGGGTCGTGGCTGGGTCTTCCAGCATGACAACGACCCGAAACACACAGCCAGGGCAACTAAGGAGTGGCTCCGTAAGAAGCATCCCAAGGTCCTGGAGTGGCCAAGCCAGTCTCCATACCTGAACCCAATAGAACATCTTTGGAGGGAGCTGAAAGTCCGTATTGCCCAGCGACAGCCCCGAAACCTGAAGGATCTGGAGAAGGTCTGTATGGAGCAGTGGGCCAAAATCCCTGCTGCAGTGTGTGCAAACCTGGTCAAGACCTACAGGAAACGTATGATCTCTGTAATTGCAAACAAAGGTTTCTGTACCAAATATTAAGTTCTGCTTTTCTGATGTATCAAATACTTATGTCATGCAATAAAATGCAAATTAATTACTTAAAAATCATACAATGTGATTTTCTGGATTTTTGTTTTAGATTCCGTCTCTCACAGTTGAAGTGTACCTATGATAAAAATGACAGACCTCTACATGCTTTGTAAGTAGGAAAACCTGCAAAATCGGCAAAATGTATCAAATACTTGTTCTCCCCACTGTATATGGCTCATAGAAATAGAATCACTAGAACCGGAATAGTCCCTCAGACCTTATTACAGACTCATTGATTTGGATGAGGATGCCCGTTCGAGGGATTTTATTTCTATGACATTGCTTTCTCACATTGTTACGCTTGACGGCAATAGTTCAATGTAATGTCTAGTTTTATGTTCTGAATTGCAGCTTCTTGACATTCTGCTTTCCCACAGGCCGAGGTAAAAAGCGAGGGGACACTTTGAAAGTGGAGAATGAACCCCAAGAGGTGATTATCACAATAGATATTTTGCCCTTTATTTGGCTCATCTAACAAGTCCCACTGGGGAGCTTTTTTGTATAGTAGCTAGTAAGCGGTAAACAAAGGTCACATTGTCATAAGACTCATTTAATGTTCAATTATCTAAATAATAACGTTTGATTTGTTGCAGTCTGACGAGGTGGCCTTGGATGCAGAGTTCCTCGATGTTTACAAGAACTGCAACGGTGTGATCATAATGTTTGACATCACCAAGCAATGGTCAGAGTCTGTGTTGTGTGTTATAGAACAGTCCAATACATTAGTTACAAGGTTTACATTACATTTTAAAAATGGCAGATATTCAAGTACAATTTAGGAGACCATAGGGCCCTGGTGAAAAGTAGTGCACTACATAGGCCATAGGGTGACATTTGGGACATAACCATGGTTCAATTAATAAATCAATGAACTCTAATGAAACATTAGGTCTCAGTAAGCCTGTGTGTGGCCATAAACCACTTAGCCCACAGTGGCTGGCTGGCATCTGACTCTGCTTAGCTTCAAAGTCAGAACAATGTGAAACAGATTGCCATTGTATTCACTTTGAACTTGGCCAAGTATGGGGAGACATACATATTTATAATTCCTCACATATGGAGAAACAATAGCTATACGTTTGTTTTATTCTTTTTTTATGTCGTTGCAGGACATTCAACTACATCCTGAGAGAGCTACCCAAAGTACCCACTCATGTTCCAGTGTGTGTCCTAGGTAACCACAGGGACATGGGTGACCACCGTGTCATCCTACCTGATGACATCCGCCTGGTTATCGCTAATCTGAATAGGTAGTTAACTGAACTCCCTGTTTTAGTTTTGTTAGGGTTGCAAACATTTTCTGGCCATAATGTCCTAGTTTTCCTGAAATCAGGAGGGAAATATAAACAAAATTGTGAATCCCCCAACCAAGATTTCTGGAGAAATTGGGGAATGTTGCTTACATTTTGCAACAATTACTAGTAGTCATAAGCTGATCAATGTGTCTGTATACTTGACTGATGGTTTCTTGCAGACCCATGGGTTCCTCCTATATTCACTACGCTGAAGCCTCTATGAAGAATGGATTTGGCTTGAAATATTTACACCGATTTTTCAACATTCCTTTCCTGCAACTTCAGGTTAGTTCTAGCTTTGACTACATTGTATTGTGAAATATATACCTTTGCTATGGTCATAACCATCTTGAGTCATGAAATCAGATCAGAAATACCGCAGGCACAGACTAAGTACTACCCACTCCCTATGAAAGGGTTTCTGAGAGTGCTTGTGAAAGGAGTATTAGTGCTCTGGTTCATAGTCAGTCATTCCATGCCCTCTCTGTTGATCTCTACAGAGGGAGACTCTCTTACGGCAGCTCGAGACCAACCAGTTAGACATGGACGCCACTCTGGAGGAGCTCTGCGTGCAACAGGAGACTGAGGATCAAAACTATGAAATGTAATGTGATATTTTCACTCTGTATCAGTTTGTTTGGCATGTTCAGTGATATTATCACTCTGTGTATCAGTTTTTGGCATGTACACTGATTTTCACACAGTATATCGGTGTATTTGTGTTTATAGCAGTGTATTTGTGTTGATAGCAGTGTATTTGTGTTCATCTTTAACACTTATAGCAGAGTTTTGAGATGTTTCTTTCTTTATTGATGCAGCACCGATTTTACCAATACTAACAACACGGCACCCATTGTTTTGCAGTTTCTTGGAGAACATGGAGACCCGCAATAAAGGCTATGGTTCACCTTGTCCAGCCAATGGTCAGAGCCCTTCCTCGGGCTCCCAATCCCCCATCGTCCCTCCAAGTGGGGCCTCCACTGGCAGCTCTAGCCCTGGGACCCCTCATCAGCCACCCATCCCTGGCCAGGTCCCCAGCCTGCAGTCTCCCTCGCCTTCTCCTCCGCCTCCTGCCCTGCCAGCCGGGATGGTTTCCCCCACCGCTGAGCCTCAGTCCCCCACTCTGACGCAGGCTCAGAGTCCTGATCATACTGGACCGTCACCATCTCCCCCGACCCCTGCCCAAGCCCTGCCTCCTCAGAAACGTGGCCTCATCTCACGTCTCTTTGGCTCCGCCCCTGCCCCAGAAGCACCTGCAGCCATGCCAGGTAAGTCTGGTCGATGTGTCAGTGTTCAACTATTTCCATAACAAAGACACACTTCACAGACGAACGGACAGAAGCAGTGAGTGGCCGCGGAATGTTAGCGATCACCTGTATAGTGTGGGAATTCAACATGTAGAATCATCTGGAAATTAACAGAAAATAACGACCAATGTTCTGTTAAATGGCGATAGGACGGCCAACCACTGCTTTTAATCGTTTGTCGTCAGTGTGTTTTGTCTAATATTGTATCCTAAAAGCCCGGGAAAGGACTAGGTTATGCATGTTAAACCTGTGTGTATTAGACCAGGAAGTAGTCACAGGAAATCTTCGTGAATGATTGGATTTCTGTGAAGTATTTGTAAGGACCATTGCACTGCTTGGAACTGGAATCTCATCTGAGGGACAGGATTTTTTAAAAACTGAATGAAGGAAAACGGCATGCTAGAACCTTCCATGTGGTAACCACCAGACTCTTTTTGGCAGTTTTACAGAACAACACTTTGTATTGAGGGAGGTAACTCATTGAACCTTTTAGCCCAATATAGTTTAGCAGGTTTTAAGCACTCTGTTTGCGCTCCAGGTTCTCCCCTAAATTGTGCTGGGTTGTTTTCATGTATTGTTGGTAAAAACATGGATTCTGGGATGAGTTATTACTATACAATATCAGTGTAAGTCTGTGGCGTTAAATAATAAAAGGATGCATCCCTAATGGCACCCTATTCCCTATATTTTGCAGGTCAAAAGTAGTGGACTATATAGGGAATAGGATTCCATTTGCACATCAAATGCTATTGTGATCTCTGTCTGCAGAGCCAGAGCCTGCCCCTGTGTGTCCTGCTAACGTTCAGAGTGTGGATGACTTTGTGCCAGACGAGGGTCTGGATAAAAGCTTCCTGGAGGACAGCCTCCCCTGTAAAGTCAAGGTCCCCCAGCCAGCACCTGCACTGGACAGTGACAGGTAAGCAGTAGCAGAGTGTGGATTCTTACTTTGACAGATGAGAACGTATCCCTGGCCATAGAAATAAGAATGAATAGATCGGGCTTGGAACCTCTAACCCTGGCAATTTGACTGGTAAACTGATAGGTACACTCGCAATTGCTTCCTGTTATTGTGATGTAATAATTTCCATGGTAATGTAAGTGTTCATTAAAATGATGCTAACTCATGTGGCTCATGCAATGGAATATATTTTTTGTAATGTCATGTAAGTTTATTCAACAAATCATAGCACAGCTTGATGGGTACACTTCCTGCTTTTACTTCCTGCTTTGCTCCTATGGGTACACTTGCGATGGCCGCCAGTCCACCCATTATGCCATCATTGACTTGAATGGGGACACCCATTTTATTTATTCTTATTTCTATGTCCCTGGCTGTGTCTCAATTGGCACCCTATTCGCAAAGGGCTCTGGTAAAAATGTGTGCACTATATAGGGAATAGGGTGCCATTTGGGACGTAGAGCCTGTCTGTATTGCCACTAGTTATTTCCTTCCCTGCTGGAAAAAAAATGTATACTCTAAAGTTCACAGCACACAGTACCATCTGGGGGAAGCCATCTGTGGTGAGAGTTTTCAGATGGCTCTATTTACTCAACGCTTTCATTGAAATAGAATGTGAAAGAGAGGATTTAAGAATCACCAACAATGTTTTCGGTAGAGATGAGAGAACACTGGAATACATATATTTAAAAAGGAGAAGAACAAAACCTTTAGATGCTCTCTGTTGTTCCCTTGTGTGTCCCCAGTGATGGAGAGGACAGAGGGAACCCTATGGTGGCAGGTTATCAGGATGAACTGGACCCAGATGACAAAGAGCTGCCCCAGCCCAGCACCCTGGGCCTTCTCACCACTAAAGACTTCACCATGTCCAGCGATGAGGAGGAAGCACAGCCCCCACCACCACCAGCACCCGCTGTCACTCATGATGACCACCTCGACCTTGACAGTGAATCAGAGCTGAAAAGGTAAGCGGCAAATAAATGTCCATGTTAATGTAGTTTCATAAAGAGTAAACGTACGTTTTTAAGTCACTTTTTTTTATTCTCTGTTTTAGGCCCTTCTCATCGTTCATATTTGTTAATGTAGTGTCATCTATAGTAATAATCAGTGCTTTGTAAGTGGTATTTTTGTTTTCCATTTTAGACCAGGCACTGAGTCCATAATGCCCCATGCCATGGAGCCTCAAGCTCCGGAGCCTTTGACTCCTGCTTCCCAGCTCTTGGAGAACACTGTCCTCTTGGAGGCAGAGCCAATCTCCCTCACCCCCCTCACCATGACCCCTACACCTGCAGTAGCCCTGGAGCAGCCAGGCCCCCAGCCAGGCCCACCCAGAGCGAAGAAGGGGGGAAGCCCTGGGGTGGAGGGTTCAGACTCTGACCCAGAGGCCCCTGTTGCTGAACAGATGCTTTCCTTCATCATGGATGATCCTGACTTTGAGTCTGAGGAGGAGGTGGTTATTCAGAAGATAACTAAGGTAGCTATGGCTAAATTATGTTATTTAGGGTTGTAGGCTACAATTCATGGTTAGATTGAGTAGTTGTCAACCTATAGAAATTATTTTCCTGGTAAAATATGCAGTGTTGCATTGTGAAATAACCAATACATTTTCAAGAAATTATCTGATTGGTAGTTTATATTAGGATACATGGTTAAAATGTAGCTCAGTTGGTAGAGCATGGCGCTTGCAACGCCAGGGTTGTGGGTTTGATTCCCACGGGGGGCCAGTATGAAAAATGTATACACTCACTAACTGTAAGTCGCTCTGGATAAGAGCGTCTGCTAAATGACTAAAATGTATATTGGTATATGTGATAGTTTGGACTTGTGGGATTTCATTCTTTCCTTCTGCATCCGTCCACAGGAGGTTTTCCCAGTCAGGGATGAAGTACTGTCTGATCTGGAGCTGTCAGATGATGACATCCTTCCAGCCGTGCTGATCCCTGAGCCTCTGAAGCCCACGCTGGTCCTGAAGTCCTCCTTTAAGAGCAAGAATGAGACAGACCTGTTTGGCTTGGGCTTCACGGAGGAGGCCCCCAGAGCCAAGGACAGCAGCGAGGACCTAGGTAGCAAGTCCACTACTACAAATCTACAGAGAACAGGGTCGTATTCATTATTGCATATTGTATTAAAACGTTTTGCAACGGAAAAAGAAAACAAAACTGTCTTATTGGACAAGAGTTTAGGTAGTCCTTCCCTGTTTCAGTCCATTTTCTTCAGTTTGGTATCTAGTGAATATGACCCAGTACCATAGAATAGTACCATAGCACATGACCGAGAACAGTACCAAATCGTATCACATTATAAAACAAAATTGCATTGCATTTATTGCTCAAATTATATGAATTGCTTTTCAGAGAAGGAAAGCAAACACTCTTCAAAAGAAAAGAAGAAAAAGAAGAAGAAAAGCAAAGAGGTAAGAGTGTGGATGTCTTTTCAGATGGCTATCTTGTCAAGTGAAGTGGCGACTGTTTACTGTATACAGCATGGGTAGGCAACACTGGTCCTGGAGCTCCGTAGCCACTTCATGTTTTTGATGTAACCGACCTGGAAGACCAGGTGTGTTGAATTTAGGCAATCACTGAACTGATCAATTAGCTCAGTTGGTCAGGTGTGGTGCCTAGTTGGAACAAAATCCTGCAGTACCTGCGGCACTCCAGGAACAGGGTTGCCTGCCCCTGGTATACCGCATAGTAGACTTACATAAATTACAAATAAAATATCTGACATTCTGTGAAATGATTCTGCCTTTTTTCTTAGGAGGAGGAGAAGAGCAGCAGCAAGAAGAAGCATAAAAAGGACAAGAAAAAGGAGAAGGATGAGACAGGAACAGGAGATGACCAAGAGAAGAAAAAGAAGAAATCTCGGACCAAGAAAACCGGGGATGTGGATGACTTGGAGGATTTCTTGGCTGGAGGGGAGGGGTCAGCAAATCGAGAGGGCAGAGACTATGAAGAACTCTAGAACCCAAGTCCTCCTTTTTTGGAACTTGACTCTGAAGAGCTGCAGAATCCAATTTGTCGTTTGAAACCTTTTGGTTCCTAGAACCAGATTAATTTGTGCACAAGCAGCATCCGCAAGCCATAACCATTGTCATGCTCACCCATTCCCAGGCAAAAACCTAGACTCTACGGTGGCTGTATGTTGCATTGATTTTATTTCCCATGAGCGCTACTGATCACACTCTTGACCTTTTGGATGAGATGAGAAACCGGAAGGAGACTTACACCCACTGTGGTGTAACACAAACGTTATGATAACTGCAGGGGAGCCACTAAGGAAAGATTTGACCTTTTTTTTGGGGGGGGGGGGGAACATTTAACCTAACATTTTTATTTGCTTACTGTTTTTTCTTTTTACTTTTAAAAGATGCCAACCTAAAGTGAACCACTCCAAAAGGCTAGGCAGGGCTAACTTGTTTTTGTCTGAATGTCCTCTATTTTCTATAAGAATTGCTTGAGAGCATGCTCCTGTTAAATGATGACTGATTGACAGTGTAGATATTACATAGTGGAGATATTCAAGGTAGATGGTCATATTTCACATATTGAAGATTTCCCTCCTACTTCGATCCACTGGTTTTGTTTCTCTGACTCAGTGATGTAATGGTTGTTGGAAGTTGTGCTGCTTTAATCTAAAGAAGTGCTATCTCTGTCTATTTGATAATACACTCCCTCCAACCCCCCACAATGGAACAGGTCCCCCAATGCACCATTTTACAGCTACATTGACCATAGTTTTATTTTCTCTACATCCCAAATGACACCCTGCACCCTATTCCCTATATAGGGTGGTACCCATAGGGCTATGATCAAAAGTAATGGACTATATAGGGAATAGGGTGCCATTTCAGACGCAGCCTTTGTGTCACTTTCTCTAGGGCATCAGTACACATTTTCAGTGTGTTTTCATTAGATGCCTTAAAAGGAAGTTACATACAAACACTAACCATGTGTTAAGTGCTCTTACTGTAAGTCAAACGAACTGCATCCAAACTGACAGGAAGTAGCATCAGACAGATGTCTGGTGCCTTCGATAGGTGAACTGTAACTGTATTTCACTCCACAACGTATCCTATACTATGTACTTTGAATTAGAGCCAGTACCACAACCTCGGCAGCCCAACAGACAATATATGGAAATGTTTGCTTTTATACAGAGCTGCTGCTTGGACATTGGATTGGAATCATGTTTTATATTGTCAAGACACTCTTAACAATTTATGAATAATTGCAAAAGTAATAAGCTGCTTACACAAATAATAAGGTAACACAAACAATTAATTGCTACTAGATACATTTTCTGCATTTCAAGACTCCTATTCTAATTTTAACTAAGCATAACTGTTGTCTGTCTCGTTTTGAAGTTCCATTACCTTTGCTTCAGATGTTCATTTGAAAAATACTTTTTTTGCAATGGCTGTTTTTCTTGGAGATATTTCAAAGGCAGCCTACTAACATTGAATGCAGCTTTTTATGGCCTGAAACATGTCAACAACAGTAGTGCTTCATTAATACTAGTCTCATCAAAGTTATTTACCTTTACCAATTTTTTCTTATGAGGAAATACAAATGGGATTGATTCATATGTATGGTGTGGTTGTTTGTCATCTGGTTTGACTGAAATACAAGGTTTCTATTGCCTGCTCCAAATTTGTAGAGATTTCCCATGTGTTAGTATACTACAACAGGTTGACTAGTTGCATCACAAAAAGTAATGAGTAATTCCAATCTGTTTACATTGCAAAGACTACCATGCTATTCTGTAATGATGACAGACACCCATCAATTTCATTAAGAGCAGCATGCATTCATATGCATATCAGACAAGGAAATAAATGCAAGTGTTATTCAGGAATGATATACATTTTATTTCCACAATGTTACAAGGTATGTTTTTTAACTGACAACATACTTTTAGATGTGTTACATTCTTGTCAGTTTAGATTACAATTTTACTGGTCTGATATCAAATTGAAATGTCAAATTTATGTTTCAAAATCTGAAACTATGCATTGATCTTGAATACTGTGTGATCTGCTTCCTTGTTTATAGTTGTCATTGGGTTGTTCATAGCAAAATGCTAAAAGCACAGTTCCAATTGAGGCATGAGACTTAAGTTGTGCAATAACAAAATCATGTATAGAAAGGAACATTGATATATTTATTTTCATCCCATGAAATGTTTCCATATTCTCACTGGATGTGAACCTGTGTTTGGTTTGTCTAATAAATGCAAACTTATTTCTTCATAGATGGCGTTTTATTTTTACTGCTTTGAAAATAATGAACGCTATTGCAAACAACAACAAAACAAATATAATCAGCACTTAGCTCTTGTAACCACCAGGGAGCAGAGTAACTTTTCTTGACATTTAGTTATTCAGATGAAAGTGAAGTACAGTATAGGCTAGGTGTATATTAAAATAAAAACCAATTATCAAATTGCTTTAGATTCGAATAACTTAAAAGTTTGTAACTGTCGTATCGAGTGAGTGGTGGCAATTATTGCTGATAAACAAAGGAGTCCGCTCATACTGAATCCTTGATCATAAGTTTATTCAGATCACAAGCTTACAGCATAAGTTTACAGACTCGCGAGGTCTGGAGAGCAGTGTCCTCCAATTCTAATGGCTGCTCTGCCCTTTCTGTAGTCTAGCCCCTATTTATAAACAATACAAAAAGATGGGTGGCTCCCTCTTCTGGCCAATCACCAGTCTCCCCTGTTTACAACACACTTCCTGTCTGTTGTATGTGGCGTTACACTAAAACATTCCCTCTTGATACTAAAATCAACATTCTTTCAGTTCCACTTAAAAAAACATTTAACACCATCATAATCTCAATACACTACATTCCCCCCTTTCGAGACAAACTAAAAGTCTCGAAAACAAACAGAATAGGATTATGACTAGTAACAATTTATCTTATTGAGTATCTTTAACATTAAACCAAAAACATTCTTCTCTAGAGTGTAAATACCTTTCTATGAAATAACTGTTTATGAAGTGTGAATACATTCCTATGAAATATGAACAAATCTCTATGGAGTGTAAGAGCGAAAAACTGTCCGGCAACCTTCCATCCATCAATCAAGACAGTAAAATTCTCTCACGGTCCCTCTGCCCCAGGCAACCACCTTCGGTACTCCAGATAAACTCATAAACCATGTAAATGCATTTGAAACTATGATGCAACTAAATACACATGTAAGCCCCTGCAAACAAAATCCTATCCAAAAACATCCATTGTAAGGCTGGTCAACCCATTGGACCCTACAGTGAACCTCTCCCCGCCTAAATTCCCTGTCCCTAAACATTCACGAAATAAACAAAAACATCTAAGATCCTCACATGTATTCAATAACATCAAATATCCTTCTACAAAAATTAATCCCTAAGAATATGACACAATTATGTATTACACATGTCTATATTTCATTGCAGACACTGGAATGTAGTCCACTACACTTCATCTCCCCATAGTCTCCTCTTCCAATGGATTGTTGATGATGGAATCGGCCACACCCTCCTTGTTTCATCTCCTCCAGTCATATTGTCCCTTCCCATGTTCCCCCAAATGCTTCTGGAAGAAAAAGAAACGACCAAACAGTATCTTTTGCAAAACAAACACTTTCAAATTAAACATCAATATCAACTAAGAATATAAAAATGATATATAAATGATGTATGAATCACATAAACCCATTCCCCCCTTGATTCATAAAATCATACTAAAAATCACACCAATATTGAAAAAATTGAAAAATGATCAAATAATCAAAAATGATATTTATCCATTCAGTTCCACTTGTCCATCTTTATCCAGATCAGGAACAGTCAACACCGGCATCTGAGTGTTGTCTCCAGGCATCACTCTCCAACCTAGCTCAATATCATAGCTTTCTCAAAGGTCAGTAACAAATTACAAACATCACCCAGTGTTATCAAAGCTGCCATTAAATGTAACCCATCACTGCCCCTACTGGCCTACCTGATTTTGCAACCAAGTCTTCGCTGACTTCTGCTCCCTCAGATCTCCCAAATGCATCCCTTATATTCTTCAATGCATATATAACACTCGTGACATTATCGGAACTATCTGGACTCAAAGTATACCTAATATTATCAATATGATCTTCCCAAATGTTACACCATACCATGGAAAAAGTCCCCCCTTCGCCCTTAGATTTATACTTCAATGATAGGCTTGAAGACTATGACATGTAGCCATGTCTCTTTTCACCCTATTTTCAAACCTAGCTTCAGATTTCTGTGTCCGGTGCTACCCCTCTTATAATGGTAGAAACCTCATATGGAAGCTTCAACGTTGACATGTAACAACATCCTGTCCATCCATAATGTAAGAATATATATGCTTTATCACCACAAACCCTCTAAATATCTCTAAAATTCCCCATAGTCACATTGGCAGGCAAAAGCTAATCTTTTAACCATCAAAGTCCTGCTGTTCCTACTACCTGGTACATAAAAAGTAACATATTTCTCATTACTACCCTTAAGGTCATGCATACCCAAAGTTATCATATAACATCACAATCTGATATTCCCATAAACATACCCCTTACCTCATATGTTTTATTAGAACAAAAACAACTTTTAGCCCTCAATGGTTACACCTCAAATGCTTCAGTTACGCTGTTACCTGATTTTCTTTACCATCCAACAAATTCACACAAGTTAATTCACTTAACCCAATAACACCTAACCCTAGGCTTAAACAAATGTTTTGACAATGACATTATTTTATCTGTTACTGACTGTTGCTGATACCACAGTCATGACAAAGCATAAGATTGACACATACTTGATAGAGGTCGAACGACCGTCTCTAAAATGTTTGGTGCTGGAATTCTCAACAGACATGGACCCTCAAGATTCCTCACTGATCTTACAGAATGAGCTAACCGCTGGATTCCTACCTGCCCATTTATCTTTAACTTTCACAACAGAAGAATCAAACCACTCCATTTAGTTTCTCTCTTCCCTAACGAGCGGTACTGATCAGATACCTCTCCCTGTCTGTCATTAAAATCAAAGACCTCATCCTGTACCTCCATGATGAATCTATATTCTCTCTACTACTATCTGTTCTCCTATTTTAACCCTATTCGTCTTGCTACCCCCTTTAATTTCAGAAAAGTTGTTGTCGGTGTCATACTTCCTACATTTGCTATTGCCATCGTATCATTAATCCCTTCCAAAGTTACCATTAAAGTATGTATTAACCTTAATTATTTCTAGTGGCAAAGTTACCAATATCCTATGTGC